TGCATGAAACTTACCAGAAAAAATACCGAATTCTGCCAATTTTTCTGCCGGCAGAATCCGCCGGACCCTTAAGGGGGCAGCCTACCCATAAATTTCATATGGCATTCAATTGACCGTAACTTTGGTGTTTCTCAATGGATTTGAGTGAAATTTTGACCACACACTCCTGCCACTATGCTGGCCCTCAGGACATGTTTTACAAGTTCTTGCGCCTCACTGACAGGCTTTCCAGGCCGGAAAAACTCAAATTTCCGGCATAGTGCCACGGTGTGCGAGCCACCCAGGAGCCAAACAAATGCATTTACAACTTTTTCACATTTTCGTGCTCATTCTGTTCGTGCGCGGGACTCAAACCTAGAACAAGTCCAGAAGCAGCCATGGGTGATGGGGTAGGGCCCCTCAACGAGGCCCTGGAATCTGTCACAACGGAACGAGTGGGCGTTCTCTCACACACTCCCACAGACCCAAGTCAATTTTTGATTTTTTTTAGGTTTAGCACGTGCTACGAGGTCGTACCTTTGATACAACATCCAGTGCTGGGACCTCCACAGCAAGCCATTTCCACAGCGCTGCACACCAAATCCAGGATACCCTCAGAAACCGGCAAAGACTACCACTCACGTTTCACTACTGCCTAGTACTGAATCCTACCTGACTTCTTGACACGACTCAAACTTGCCAAAGTCACTAAATCAACGTCAACTACAATAATCAAGCCACATATCTGCAACGTCACGAGGGTGCTGGCAAAAGTCCTGCTGCACGGCGGCGGGCTTCGCCCGCTTCGCCCGCCGCCGTGCAGCCCAATACGTGGCTCAAAAACCTGATTTTTGGACTTGGAGCAAAATTCTGCACACTTTCACGTGTTTCCATGATACGACAAGTTGCGCACGGTCTGCTCACATTCAAATACAGTGCTGCCAACAAATGACAGCGTGCAACAAAAAAATCTTTCCTTGCAAGGGCACATGTTCGGCCATAACTCTTGAACGGCCGGTCAGATCGGGACACAATTTTCAGAGAATTTGCAGCTATTCATGCTCTTTCAACTGACGTAGCACTCAATATGAATTTACAAATTCGATTTTTCAGCGAATTTCTGGGTAGTCTGCCACCTTAAAGAGAGGTGCATTAAAATTGACAGGTGGTCAAAAATGGTCAAAATTTGACAATTGGTGACCATACTGCCCGTTTGAAGCTCAAACCAAGAGCGACATATCTCTCAACAACCCCCCCAGGGCTCCTCAAAGCTGAAAATAAAATATCTCCAAGTTTTGGGGGCTTTTCGCCGTGAATCTTCACTTTGCGACTAAAGTATTCAAAGCAGTGCTACAGTTTCTGGGTCATTGAATGTGGGTGCCAGCGGCCTACAAGCAAACCAAAATCAAATCAATGCGACCATCCCCATTGCAGCTGGGCTGTGTTATAGAGAGGTGCATTAAAATTGACAGGTGGTCAAAAATAGTCAAAATTTGACAATTTCTCACCTTACTGCCTGTTTGAAGCTCAAACCTTGACAATGACCGACTTAATTAATTAAGGGGGCAGCCTACCCAAAAATTTCATATGGCATTCAATTGACCGTAACTTTGGTGTTTCTCAATGGATTTGAGTGAAATTTTGACCACACACTCCTGCCACTATGCTGGCCCTCAGGACATGATTTACAAGTTCTTGCGCCTCACTGACAGGCTTTCCAGGCCGGAAAAACTCAAATTTCCGGCATAGTGCCACGGTGTGCGAGCCACCCAGGAGCCAAACAAATGCATTTACAACTTTTTCACATTTTCGTGCTCATTCTGTTCGTGCGCGGGACTCAAACCTAGAACAAGTCCAGAAGCAGCCATGGGTGATGGGGTAGGGCCCCTCAACGAGGCCCTGGAATCTGTCACAACGGAACGAGTGGGCGTTCTCTCACACACTCCCACAGACCCACGTCAATTTTTGAATTTTTTTAGGTTTAGCACGTGCTACGAGGTCGTACCTTTGATACAACATCCAGTGCTGGGACCTCCACAGCAAGCCATTTCCACAGCGCTGCACACCAAATCCAGGATACCCTCAGAAACCGGCAAAGACTACCACTCACGTTTCACTACTGCCTAGTACTGAATCCTACCTGACTTCTTGACACGACTCAAACTTGCCAAAGTCACTAAATCAACGTCAACTACAATAATCAAGCCACATATCTGCAACGTCACGAGAGTGCTGGCAAAAGTCCTGCTGCACGGCGGCGGGCTTCGCCCGCTTCGCCCGCCGCCGTGCAGCCCAATACGTGGCTCAAAAACCTGATTTTTTGGACTTGGAGCAAAATTCTGTATACTTTCACGTGTTTGCATCATACGACAAGTTGCGCCCGGTCTGCTCACATTCAAATACAGTGCTGCCAACAAATGACAGCGTGCAACAAAAAAATCTTTCCTTGCAAGGGCACATGTTCGGCCATAACTCTTGAACGGCCGGTCAGATCGGGACACAATTTTCAGAGAATTTGCAGCTATTCATGCTCTTTCAACTGACGTAGCACTCAATATGAATTTACAAATTCGATTTTTCACCGAATTTTTGGGTAGTCTGCCACCTTAAATGGTCCACACATTATTATTGTATGATGCAATGCTATTAATATTAATGTAATTATGCTTTCGAGTTTGTAAGCGATGCCATGCCATCATCACCGGGCAAAATTCCTGTGCAAATTTTTCCTGTTTTTTCACATTGTCGCGTTGCTGCCGCTGTAGGGATCACGTCTGGAAATGATTTGTGATTCTGATGTTGTTATTTACTTATTTACTTGTCTTTCTCTGTGATTTGTCATATATCTTTCTTTTTTCTTTTGTTCTTTTCTTTTTTGCCTTTTTTCAACTTCTGCCCATGACATCCTTCACTCAGCTCGTCAGCTGTAACATAGTCATCACCATGACAACTGTTGTGAGAAGGTGCTCGCTGCCAAGAAGGACGCCATGGGCAGAACTTGAACAAGACAAAAAAGAAAAGAAAAAGAAAGATAAATGACAAATCACAGAGAAAGACAAGAAAATAACAACATCAAAATCACAAATCCTTTCAAGACGTGATCCCTACAACCAAGAGTACAAATTCCTGTGCACCCCCCTGTGAAGGGGTCCGGTGACGCCCTGCTGTTTGAAATCTTTTGTCTGTGCCCGTGTCGTTGTGACTTGCAATGCAAGTGCACTATGTACTGATGTACTGTCTTTACACGTATGTACAGAAACAAAACAAATGCAGTTTTCAGTGCATGGACTCGGCTACTAAAACATTTTGTGGAAGCAAACAAGCCTTCTTTGTGATCTTGGTAATTTTAGCTCAATCGACTCTGCACTTCGAGCTAGATGTGTCCGTGGGGTATTGTCCAACTAGAACTGGAGTCCTCACGTGCCCCAGGTCGCGCCGAGCTAATCACGTTTGTCAGCAGAACTCCTGCCCGCGACTCAACACATTTATTCCGTCCGTTGTCATCCCCACTGCGAGTGGGGAGCTTCATGCCCACGATGAAAGAGAATGTCATGATATTTTGAATCCTTCATCAGAGAAAGCTATTTGAACTCAAAACGACACAAGACAATGGCCATGATAAACATACTCGATGTGACTGGCCTCCAATCCAAGTGCTGCAAGAGACTGGAAGTATTTTTCAAAACAATGTTTTGAAAAAAAGCTGAGCGCTCGAGTGCGGTGAACACGGCCAAACGCCATGTTTTCCTTGGTAACATGACGTAAGCCGCATTATCACGATGGCGAGTTGCAGCGCTGATCTTGAAGTACTGCGGCACCAGAAAAGTGTCCTAATTCTACCTGAGCCACTGAGACGGCGGGCAAAGGAGATAAGGGGATAGAGAGAAAGAGGAAAGAATGGGACCAAAGAAGCAAGTGAGAGAGAAAGGAGATACGGGGATAGAGAGAAAGAGGGAAGAATGGGACAAAAGAAGCAGATGAGAGAGAAAGGAGGTAAGAGGAAAGAGGTGGAGAAAGGAGTTGCAGAAGCCTGGGATAGGGTGCAGTATTTGTAGTTAGTTGTGTGTGTGTGTGTGTTTGTGTGTGTTTGTGTGTGTGCCTGTGTGTGTGTTTGTGTGCGCGTGCGTGTGTATTTGGGCCGCGATAAGCTAAACATGTCTTTGCGTTTTGAAAAAAAGTTGAGAAACGACGGAATGAAAAAATATTTTGTCGAGTGTGTTCACGCTGCGCTTCAGTCATGAACCGGGACGAGCGGTGGATGGCGACCATCTTTTAAAATATTGTTCAAACACTTGGTTGGCGGTCTAAAAAAATAGTTGAATTAGCCCACTCGCAAATACAAGTCAATGTCTGCATCTAGTGATACTATGGCTGCTCGCAGGGCCAGATGATTGCTGTTCATTGTGCAGGTTTGGTCAGGTGTCAGCAAGTCCGTGGTGGTGGGTCTGCAGAGCGATGATGACAAATTTTGGGGATCTCAGAGATATTGATGTCGACAGCGAAGCTGAATCGCCCCCGTCGCCCACAGTAGGCTAAGAGGCACAAGTTGTGGGCGAGTACATTAGAGCACGAACTGCCTTACGACGTTATGTGCCGTTCAGCTCTCAACAGTCGTCGTCTGACGCACTCTCGGAAGCGCAGGTGACAACCAAAGGTGTCAGTGCCAGAATCGAAAGAGTATGCAAGTGCAACGCCGCCCAGTGGATCATGGTGCTTTCCAGGAAGAACTTGGTCCATGACTTGGAACTGATGTCGTTGACATGCTCAAGTCTGTGTCATCAACTTTAGTTCCTTCGTATTGTGCTCCTCCACAAAAGCCACTAAGTTTGTCTGTGTGTCAGACTGTGCGAAAACTGTCATTTTCTATTTCAAAGTATATATTTTAAAAACGGTGCTTTGGTGACTGTTAGACTACTTTGGTGCCCTGTTTCACCTTAAAGAGGTCATGTAAGGTCCCAGCAAACTGTTTTCTGGAGGAGCTGATTGTGGCCCATAATGTGAATTGCTTCTTTTCACCACAGCATGCAGAGCAGTTGAAGTCTGTTGCAACTAAAGGTGAACTTGATGCCACTCGTCAAGATTCAACACAGTCTGTACTTGACTTGAAAAATGAGATGATCGCAGCAATGGAGGAGAGCAATGCAGTTTTGACTCAGGTACTACACAGTATACACACTGCCTTTATCATAGGGTTTCTTCCATTTTAGAAACTTTTCAGTGGCCTGCTTGAAATATTCCAGTTCAATTGTCTACCAAATATTTAATGGAGCACTCCGGGAATGTTTTCGGTGGTGTGTTCTCTTCATGCGGGGTCTTATTTGGCCCCCAAGGAATGGGGAATTGCGAAAACTAGACCCAAAAAGTCGATATATGAAGCCAGGGAGGGCCAAGTTTGTCTCCTCTTTTGATGGTTTTCATGACGTCACGTGTGATTAGTATTCAAATTCTCTGCATTTGCAGATCTTAGTTGTTTGAATTTTCTGGTGATGAAGAACGTTGTTTGGTCGACATTCCCAAGTTTCACAACTGCGGACGTACTCTAAGGAACCTAAAGGACCTCCTGAGGTGCCCCTGGTAGAAGCGCAGCCTGATGAGGGCCAGTAGATTGGAGCGGATGACGTCACTGGTCCGAGTACGAGGATCCCGAAATTCTCTATACGCCGTGAGGCATATGGTCAGAACAGTTTTGTTTAGACAAGCTGACGCAAAGTCTGGGTGATGTGTAACGCCTGTCAAAGGGCTGTCAATGCTAACAGCTGCAGCGCTCTCTCGACAGCGAAGGTAATCGACTGCCCTCTGCATCACCCCACATTTCTGGCAGGAACACCAATCATTATTTCCTTGTCGACCAGTGAAGTCGTCCGCTCCAATTTCCTGGCCCTCACCAGGCTGCGCTTCTACCAGGGGCACCTCAGGAGGTTCTTCAGGTTCCTTAGAGTATGGTCGCAGTTGTGAAGCTTGGGAATGTTGACCAAACATCGTTCTTCATCAACAGAAAATTCAAACAATGAAGATCTTCAAATGCAGAGAATTTGAATACTAATCACACGTGATGTCATCAAAACCATCAAAAGAGGAGACAAACTTTGCCCTACCTGGCTTCATATAGCGACTTTTTGGGTCTAGTTTTCGCGATTCCCCATTCCTTGGGGGCCATATAAGGCCCCCATGAAGAGAACACACCACCGAAAAAATCCCGGAGTGCCCCTTTAACCCTTTGAAGCCCAAGGACGAGTATACTCGTCGAAACGCGCACTATGTACGCATTGAGCATTGATCATTGTACAAAATTAATCATCGTATCTCCGTTGTCCTTTCTTTGATTTTCAGAAACGACAGCTTGTTGGAAAGGTAAGGAAAAGACCTTTCCAGCGGTGTGTCATTTGTAGCAGCGCGATGCGAAATACCCGAGCGGCAAAGACCAGAACGCGGTTGCATACTTCTGAACTGGAGAATTTTGAAATTTTCGAGTAGGGCTCGCGTGCGCATGGGGTTACCCCATGACTCATACCAGTGCAACACATGCGTGATGGATACCAAGATGACCGCTTGAGCTTCAGCAGCACAAAGAACTTTGAATCGTTGTTTTGTGTTGAGTATTATAAAAAGTCATGAACCGAAGGAAATTTATGCTGTGGGTGGTGTATCTCGTTCAGGCGCAATAGGGCTGCACTCAAGGGACTTGGAGGCGCTTCTATTGCTTCGGCTTAGTGTCTAGTCTATATCTTTGGATGGAGACGATCACAAGCTTTTCAGGGAGCTCCAGATAATGAAACTCCATTGCTGGTAGCCCTTTCCCAAAGGTGCTTTTTTAATTCGCACTTAGAGCTTTTCGCGTCCCTCAAAATATGCTTAAAAAGTGCTCTTTTTTCAGTGAAAACAGGCAAAAAGTGCTCTTTTTTCAGTGAAGCATAGCCATGATACATGTTCAGATATGAACCCAAGCTGAGAAATGAATACGCACTCTTCCATTTATGGGTCCACGAAGGGCAAAACAGGAAGTAAAGTTCAAAAAACCCACCTTTTACAGCATTGTACACCGGGTACAAGCTTCACCAACTTGTTGCCCCCCCCCAAAAAAAAGCGGCGTACCAAGGCCCGGGGCGCCCATCAAGCACTCGGAAACTGTGATCGCATGCATGAGCAAACAGATTTTAGCACTTTATCACCGAAAAAAGCTCAAAAAGGGCGATATTCACATAAAAACGCAATAAAGGGCGATATTCACATAAAAACGCAATAAAGGGCGAAAGAAACGGGCTTTTAAAAAGGGGGAAAAAGGCGAGCACCTTTGGGAAAGGGCTAATTGCTGGTGAGTAAATTATGAAATTTTGAAATCGACCATCCGTGGTTCCGTGCAGCGCTGTGCGAGTGCCTGGGAAATCAGAAAACCCAGCGGGCTTCAAAGGGTTAAACCAGATTTAGGGAATATAATAATACTGTATGTTCCTAGAAAGGAATACTGAGAAATAGAGCTGAAACGAACTTCAAAAGCTGCTTTACGATAACACGTATAGCTTAACAAACGATATGACACTCATAAAAAGGACACACTTCAGGCTCGTTACAAACATCTTGAAAGTTTTTGTCTTGACAAGTATATTTTCAAGCCTTCTTTTTATGAGTATTATCGCATTTTTGTCTCAGAGGAAGCTGTTTACTTAAACAATATAACCATATTGAATTCATGGATAAGTCAGGATAACCAAACAGAGCATTCTGATTTCTGACTCTTGTCGTGAGAACTTATCGTACTCGTCATCGTCACTCTGCAGACAGCGATGGCAACTTTGGAAGACTCAGTTCCTCTTCCTCCAGCTCTTTGGCCAAGCTCAAAGAATTCGATCCTGAGCTAGTATTCTGGTAGCGAGCCCCAGGCAATACGTTGTTGACGGACAGGAAGATGGACGCGTCGATGTGAGCAGGGGACAAGCCATTGCGGAGCTTGGTCACCAGCCAACCAGCAGCAGAGAAGATTCTCTCAGATGGCACTGACGTCGTGGGCACAGAGAGGTATCTCCTGGCGAGAGTGGAGACACCAGGAAAGCGGTGCTTATTCTTTCTCCACCACTCCAGGGGCCTGTCATCTACATCCAGATCATCTTCCACGAAGAACAACTCCACTTCCCTGTCTCTGAGCTGAGTTTCAGCATCATCATTGGTGGTGGATGGGACGTCTTTGCTTGGTTGACTGCGACCAAACAGGCGAGACAGTTCACCAGACGGCGTGCTTGCCTTCTTGCGAGGTGGCTCACTTGCGCTGGTCACGGCCGCACTCTCTGCAAGCAATGACTTCACGTGATCTTTTGCTGCAGATGCTTTTTCGTCCTCCAGAAACTGGAGGGACCGGAAACGCGGGTCAAGTGCAGCACACACTAGAGCATGTCCTGGATTACCTTCAGTGGCTGTGCATCAGCATTCAGCTGGCGCTGCTTGCTTTCCAGCGCTTCCGCAGCCAGACAGGAGTGCTTGAAAGGCCCAACAAGCTTTCTACACCGGGACAGCAATTTCGCTACGACATCCAAGTCAAGGGCATACCGAATTGCAGCCTGAAGGCGGTAAGCAATTCAGACGTTACTCTCCCACCCGTTCTCTGCAGCCAGGATACGACATGCAGCCACCATATTCCGGGCCTCGTCATGGCTGAGGGCAACTAGCTGCTCCACCTTGATGCCGAATCTGCGTACCACATATTGCGCACAAAGAGCCAGCTTCTCCGCAGTGTGGCTACCAATGAATATTGCTGTTTCAAGCACACCATTCACCAACGTCCATTTGCCGTTGACGAAGTGAACAGTGTGCGTGACGAATGACTGCGTCACTGTGGACGTCCAGCCATCAGTTGTCAAAGAAACGCCCGCCATGCCGTCGGACCGAATCAACGCCTTCAACTCGGACTTCCAGAGCGAATGCCGTTTGTCGAGTAACTTGGCGAGATGCGTCCGCGACGGAATCTTGTATTCGGTCTCAAGCAACTTCAGGAGTTCGACAAACTCAACGTCGGCTACGACAGATAGTGGTCGCAGTGAACCAACAACCCAGTCGAGGATGTGTTCTGTGATCACACCAGCACGGCTCGAATCCCAGGTCCCGGCAGAGCTGGCTTAAAAAAACCGACGAGACAGACTTCGTTCCGCAAGAGGTAGTTGCTGACACCTCTGGTGTTTTACCTCCAGCAATAAGAGCATGCTACTCCTTATGATGTGTCTTCAAGTGCGAGAACAAGTTCGTTGTGCCACTTGTTCGCACGAGCGTTTGACTGCACAAATTACACTTTACCGATCAACCAACCTCTACGAAATATGCCCGTACTGGCGACCGTTTTGTTCTAGAAACTTTTGCCGACATCCCTTCTGCCGCTAGCTCGCGTAACAAAAATGAACTCAGACCTTGTCCTGTCCAAAGACAGAAAATACAACCTTGGGACACACTGTGACTTTCTTCCCGACAAAAAAAACAACAACAGTAACAGTTCACCACAGCCACTTTCAAGTTCAAGTACCGGTACGCATCAGCAGCTGTAACTGACTTCAGTCCAAACTGTCATAGCCGAACGCGGCTGGACAGAGCTAGTAGTAGTGTACATGATGTAGTACGCGCGCTTGCTGGATCAGTGTACGCACAAACTCTACAGTAACTGTCTACCACCAGTGTACAATGTAGTAGTATATATAGTGGACATGTGCCATGCCAGTGCACAGCGTGGTTTGGACCCCGTACACACAGTAGCACAGTGCTGCAGCACTCACAGCACTGTTAATTAATCGCGTTCTGGCACCTCACACACGTGCACCTACATGTACATTGTTCAGTAGTATTGTTATATCGTTAGTGACAGCTAACGATATAACGATAATTTCCTTAGCGATTAGCAAACGGTTAACGATCATATCGTTTCAGCCCTACTAAGAAACAGTGGTAAGAATTTCTGATATTCGGCAAGGAGGCAACAATTTTAATATCGCAATAATGAGGACGCGCTTAAGAGAGCATGTCTGAGAAATCCAGAAAAGCTGGGCTGGGCCATATCTCCGATTTCGCTCAAATTTTGCAAGTAGGTTTCCTTTGGGGTCTGGGGACCACCTCGAAATGGGCCCAAAATACGACTGAATATTGGGTCCAAAAAACGAGAGCTGTTACAGCGTACACGATTGAG